ATTTCTGTCTCACATTCTTGAGCCTGTACATGTTTATTGGATGAAAACCTAAGTGAAACTTGGTTTCATCCGCACATAGGGAATTAATTGAGTGTATTTTCTGCTTCATGAATGCCTCAGTATTGTACATTTTACACTATGCAGTCCAGCATTTATCTTGTACACCTTCTGATCAAGCCAGGCTTTAATCCTGGTCTTTAAGTGAATGAATTGTTACATAGCTATCAGTGGTTTCATTTTATATAGCATATATACATGTGTATAGTCTTATACGCAGGTAAACTTATTCCTACATGTATGTTTAAATTTTTATAGATTTTCTTAATTTTATTATGTTTGCATCATTTCTGTCATATTTTATTATTTCTACATTCTCTCTGATGGAATACAAATATATATTCTTCCTACGCTTGAGCATTTAAAAGTGTGAAGATATTTTTAAAATCAACAACTTTACCAATAAATGCACACCTTACCGGTACTTGCTGTATAAGTAGTATACTGTAGAATACTTTATTTTTGCTTGGAATCTATTTTCGCTATTTTCGCTGAAGGGATGATTCCGTGAAAATTTAATCCAGCGAATATACTTTTTTTCCTATATTTCACATTAAACTGATCAAAAATCAGTGAAAATAAATTCCATACAAAACGCCCAAAAAGCATTTTCAGCGAAAATTAATTCCAGCGAAAATAATATATTCCACAGTATATAATTATAAGCTTAAAATTTAAAACCCCTGTGTGAGCACTAATAAATCCCAATGTGAGTTGATTTATGTAAAATCTTGAGAAAATATTTTTTGCCACCTTTTTTTGAAACGCAGTTCTTATAAAAGTTAGTATTAATCTTCACTGAAAAACCATAATTTTGAATGACGCATGTAGTTTGTGGAAAAAAAAAAGATTTTCACTTGATTTTATTTTTCATCCCTTCAGTGAAAATAGAAAAAATAAATAAGACATCAGCTAGAAAATCTAGCTAGGAAAAATCTTAAACTACTGGCACATTGTTAAATTATGACATTATTTCTTGCTAATATATCAATGCTAGAACTATGATTGATGTGTCATTATTCATCAAGTTAGTCAGATTTGATTTGGTTTGTTATGAATTGTTGATTTACTGTGTAGCCTCATCATCGCCATCAGAATCCACTCACATCCAGAGTAGTTATTCTTTGACAGCTGTTGACCCATGATGTATGAAAGACTGTTTCAGTTTTAATTTAGAACAAGTAAATTTGTGTTCAATCTGATTGAATGTTGATTTTTTTTCTCAGCTCAATTTTATTTTAAATCCCGCCGGGAATTGAGGGTAAATCACATTATTAAGTCAGGATGTAGATTTCCTACCTCAAATTACTTGAAATACACTACATGTGCCATTATTGCATTCTGCCTAATGCCACAAAAGGTCGTAACGGCTAATTACCATAAATAAAGTAACCCATTTTCTTAACGCCAAGTGCTCGTTGTATTGCAGCTAGTGGATTTAGGTAACGTTTATTTATGAGTGTATACATGTATGAATAATAATTAGTTTAACCTACATTGTACATGTTTCTGTAGTGACATGCATCTGTCTAACCTGCCTATAGTGAATTTGATTGGCTAAGAAAACATTGAAGTATTAGCCGCCATGGCAACATCCATTTCAATCCATTGCGGAAGCCCAGTTATGCATTAACTTATATAATAGTGTTTGATGTTCATGTTTTTCCTGGCGTGGAATACAAATGTAAAACACAGCTCTCCTCCTAAATTAGCCTGACAAGGTCCAAACCCAACACACGCCTGACAGAACGATGTAGTTTTCACTTCCCCCGATGATTATTTGTCAGTACCAATCAAATTGCAGGAACATCAGATGGTGACAGCCATCAAAGAATTTATTTGTTTATAAACAAAATGTGTGATAAGATGCTGGCAAATTCCCGCCCAATGCTTATCATCTTGTTGAAAACATCTGTGATTTTTGACAATGCAAACATGGATTTGATTGACGGTGTTACCATGGCCACCAAAATGAATATTCATTGAACTCATCGCAAGAAGGCGTGAACTTTGTGAATTTGCAGTATTGATCTTGTTGACGAGACATACATGTTTCTGTCAGGCGTTAGTGAGGTCTGATGCCATTCGGCCCACAAAGGCGCTACTTACGCTACATGCCAGGCTACTCATAAATCAGAATCCCATATACTAAGCTAGGTTTATATAGTTTTTCTATGGTTTATAGGTTTGGCAAGATTAAAAAGGGATTAAATATCAGTACCCAATGTATATAGAAATGTTCATTAAATAAAAATATAATATTGCAGCATGTTATTGCTGAAATTCTGAATTGCAAATTTTGTTTATAATTAGCAAACATGTTATTTGTTTTTATTATATTCACAAATAATATTGATTGTCTTATTTTTAACAATTTCTGTAATTTATCATGGCATGGACATTTGTGTTTCAAAATTATTAAATTTCTATAGATATATATCATTTTATGACTGCTCAGTAAGGTGGTGACCCTCACCAGGGATTACATGTACAGATCTCTATAATAGAAAACTGGAATATTTAAATAGTAACACATGTTTGTGAAGGCAATATCACCTAAATATATGTAATAACACATGTATGTGAGGGTAATATCACGTAAATACATGTAATAACACATGTATGTGAGGGCAATATCACGTAAATACATGTAATAACACATGTATGTGAGGGCAATATCACCTAAATACATGTAATAACACATGTATGTGAGGGCAATATCACCTAAATATATGTAATAACACGTGTATGTGAGGGCAATATCACCTAAATACATGTAATAACACATGTATGATAGGGCAATATCACCTAAATACATTGTACATGTAATAACACATGTATGTGAGGGCAATATCATGATTTGTTGGGTTTTAATGCGAGTCCAAAACTTACATGTACTACAACTTGCATTTGATTCCTCCAAAATTTATACTCAGCAAGGGCAAGTATGTGAATATAATACACTGTTTAGTTTATTTGTGTTATTTTATATGTATTCTAGACTACAAGTCATATCTTTATTAATACATGTAATATGAGTACCAGTAAGTCTGTGCCATAGCGAATAATCTGAACAATGTAAGCTATCAATTTGGCAAATTGTTTGACCTGTGATATTGATATGTGTTAACCCCGATTGTACCAAGTCCTTAAAAACTTGATGGAGCTGGTGCAAACAGGGTTTAGATGAGGAGATTATTTGTCATGGTAATGATAAAATACAATTGTTTTATGACAATAATAAGTCTACACAATTTAAATTCTGTTTTATGTTCTCTTTAACTTGTAATAAAATCTACTCTAGATGTTGTAATATATTAGAATATCACCACAGCTTTTGTGTACTTCTGTGCAGTTAGGACATCATCTTAATTTGTGCAGAAAATGAATATGCATGATTTTCAATAATATCTTTCAAAATGTAGATAAAGTTTGACATTTGGCCAAATGCATAATTAATACTGTAAAATACTTTATTTTCGCTTGGAAGGAATGATTCAATGAAATTAAAATCCAGCGAATATACCTTTTTTCCTATATTTTACATTCAACTCGTCAGAAATCAGTGAAAATAAATTCCATACAAAACACCCGAAAAGTCTTTTCAGCAAAAATTAATTCCAGCTATTAAAATAAAGTATTTTACAGTACTTTCACCCTCTCCAAGTCTTCAAATGAAATTGTCCCTTTTAGCAAATCTAAGGTTTTAGAAATTAATATTTCATACCTGGCTGATTGGGTATGTTAGAATCTCATCATCTTTACCATCGTTTGTCAATTCTTTTTTGTCAAAATCTCCTTCCTTCCTTCCTTATCTTTTGTTAATTGAATCTGCAAGTACTTTATTATTAATAGCATAGTGCATTTCAATATTATCGCTTACATGTGTCTATACTTGTATAATTGCTTTGTATGTGCTTTGGGATCATTTTTTTCTGACAAGTAATTTTCTGTTCTTTTATCCACAGTGTTATAGAATCACAAAATAACTGTTTTTATAAGGTGCTTTGTAAAAATAAAACAAAAGTTCTGGTAATATTTTTCTCTCTCAAATACTGCCATTACCGTATTTGCTCCATCTTCTATAGAAATGTGCGTCCTCGCAAAATTGGATTTGCTGTATACTGAATCCGTAAAATATGACTTATTATTTGACCCCAGACATAACTCTGTCGTATACATAAGCGTATGTGCTAGAATAAATATCCAAGTGTATTTTTCAACTAATTTATCATGTATGAAGTAACATTTTATGTTTTCACTACATAAATAAATAAGCACACACTTATTATGCAATCTGTTATTAATGCAATCTGTTATTAATCACTGTGCAAGTTTTTGGAATGCAAGTTTTTGTAGTGTTGAAATGGTCAGTGTTTCACCAGTGAGGGAATCTAAATGATGCTAAAGTGTTCAGCTAGCACATGTTTGGATGTTTATAGTAAACGCTGCACATGTTTGGCTTTTTGGTTGACAAAGACTTGAATGTCTTCCAGCTTTCATTTGTTAAATTTAAATATAAAAAAAAATTATTCTGAGAAGACTGGGTCTTTTCTATGAAACCCTTCCCACGGATTACCGTGAGTAGTACAGAAAGATTTAACAAAATATGTCACCATTTGGAGAATCTGCTTTAGATTTTATTAAAACTGAATTACAATGTTCTTCACTGATGTTAACATCACCAGCATTGCATTATTTGTTTTGTAACACTAAAGTGTTAATCACTGTGTAGCTCAGACATGTAGCTCAGACACGTAAATAAAATACATCTAAGTGAGACTGATTTATTTTGCTATATTTGATGGGAATTCTAAAACAAAGGTCTCCTCAAAATTTAATTACTGTTATTGACTGGTATCAAAACCAAATAGTGTACAATTGTTAAATTATATGCATATTAGTTGTCCTAATCCTAAACATTTTTTTCTTTTCTATTTTAGTTGCAGACACCATCCTGACTGCCCAGGTGGCATATCTGTACTGTTGTGTCCGTTGACAACATTCATATTGACTTGCGGTGATTAAGGAAAATCAAAGGCATTTTTGCCTAAATCTGTTCTCATTTGTGAGACAGACATTTCTGAGTCTCAAATAATAAACTTTCAAAATGAAAAGACTAAAACGAAGACTATCACTGACTCTGCGTGGAGGAGGGCGGGGTATTGAGGAATCTCTCTCTGAGCTTACTGAGAGTTTAAATATTGAAGAAAATGGTACCAAAGAAGCAGGTTAGTGTATTTTTCCTTTTGCTGAACACAATGGTTATTTTCACCTTTGTCTCCCAGGTGACCATATTTAGCAGTGAAATCAACATAATGACCATATATGGAAGTCTCATCATGTATATCACTTACTGTAAAATACTTTATTAATCAGAATTAATTTTTTTTAATTTTTGTATTTTGTATGAAATTTATTTTAACTGATTTTTGAATGTAAAATAAAGGAAAAAAAGGTATATTCGCTACATTTTATTTTCACTGAAGCATCCCTTCAGCAAAAAGAACAAAAATAAATTTGAAAAAGGGAGAAAAAAAGTATTTTATAGTACCGGTAACTAATTTGCATACTTTTTGTTTTATGTGTTTTGTGAAGTCTCTTTTCTCTTCTCAACATGAGCTTAATGTTTGTTTTTCTATCATTATTCATTATTATATGTCACTGTATTTCTAAATCTGCCATCTCTCATCCGTGGATCATATTTCCTTGACTTCTTTTCCAGAACAAAATAAACATGTTACAAAATTTGTAATTACCCGTGCCGGTCCTGCTTAATTAAACCTGTATACAGTAATTGGTTTTTTGACACCAACTGCTAATTGCAGATATCATTGCCTCAAATCTCAGTATCCAGATATTCTAGAAGTACCAAGCGTTGATGTTATCAATTTTCTGTTATATGGAAGCTCATTTTTCCTAAATAGTGTTTGTCTTTCAGCTAAAGGTAATTGTGGTTACTTGGGGATGGCAACTTAAGTGTAATATACCCATTTCTGTTCACTTAGTGAGCTAATGCAATCAGTTTTAATGCACCTGCTGCCTTTGAGTTCAAAATCATCGTCTTTCCAACATTGTTCTTTCATCATGCTGTCACTGCACCTTGTGATCTTGACATGACCTTCCATCTCTAGTTCATCACAAGACCGCCCACATATCTTCACTACCGTAAAATCTGTATTAGAAGCCGCATCTCTTATAGAAGTCGCACCCATATTCTTTTTGAACAAGTGAGCAGCAAACATTCACCATTTCTCATATGTGTACATGCTCTAATAGAAGCCGCATCCCCTCTGCTGCATTGTACCATTTCCATAGAAGCTGCAGCTTCTAATACAGATTTTACAGTACTATTTTAGGTGTTCTAGAAGCACATATCGGGTAGACAAGTTTTGATTGAGCATTGATTCACTTCCGGTCAGCAGCTGGAAATATGCAGTCTTAATAGGCAGATATTTTACCATGTTGTTCTAATTACAGTATGCTGATTCTGTATTGTAGACATCCATGTTATCTTTCAGTGCATATGAAATATTTGTAAAATATAGAAAACTTGCTTTTCCATTCATACATTCATTCATTGATATAATGATGTTTAAATTGAACAATGTGACTCAAATTTATTTCATTTACTCTATCATATACTGTTTTGTGTTTGTGTCATACATTCTATCATTTTAGTATATGGTACAAACCGGTTCATTTAAAAGATATTTTTTTAGTGGTCAACATACAAGTATGAAAACATTCAACTTGTGAAATACTGAGACAAACAGACTAACAAATAGCTTTCTGTGCACATAGTAACATAGCAACCATGGAACACGCCTGGGGAACTCGTTTCTTGAAGTCACCTAACTCACACTTTGATATGTTGATGCTAACTTTTACAGAAGCACACTTCTAATGAAGCATGCAGTGTGATTACTGTTTGCACTGCGAGACAGGGTGTGGATGATGATGACATTTTGTCAAAGTCACTCTGACTCTTTATTTTATTTATTTTTGCCTGACTGTGAAATTTATAAAAAATTGTGTTATTAATAAAGCTTTGCTTCTCCAACAGAACATTGAAACACACTGTTAAATCAAATTTTCAAGATTTTCTGGTTTCATTCCCTTGAGTTATAACCATTACGTAGTTCAGGAAGCTGAGGAGACTCTGCATTATCAAGCGTAATCTTGTCTCATTCTGTAAACCTGAAATGAATCTGTTTTAATGTAATACATGTTATTGATGAGGTGATTGTTCTTTTTATTGCTTGCTTTAAGTTACTGACATTTGCGCAATTGACATCAGTCCTGAAGTCATGACAAAATCCATCCATAACTACTTCTTGCTTCAAGCTTTTATTCAATCATGGAATAGCCAGTGTCTGTTTGAAGGTGATTTACGGGAATTTCAGTGAACCCTACAAGTTGACTTCGGCAATGTAGACTTGCATCTTATGCAAACCTCTGTCAATTAAGGAAGTCTATCCGCAAAAAATGCAAATGCAGATGATTATAGCATGACTTCCTCCTATATATACTCAGATTTAAACCATGCTATTTATCAACCTTGTTTCTTCTGTTCTAGTTTAATATATTATGATACATATATTTATCTACCTGATTCCTCTTATACTGGCAGTCACCAAGCTGATTCCCTGATATCCCTGACTATTAAACCTAATTCCCTCTATCCTAAGTCAAGTGTGACAGTAAGTAACCTTAGTACCAACTTAGCTCTGCCTAACCCGAGTTTGGTTGTAACATTCACTGACTTTGTTTAGCATGTTCCAGTTGACATTTACCAACCTGGTTCCTCCTGTCTCAGTCAGGTTGTTACATTTCACCGACGTGTCTCTTCCTGTTTCAGTTGATATGCTACATTCATTGCTTGTTCATTGTGTTGAAAACTCTATAATTTATTACATTAAGTTTTTATTTTATTGGCCGTTAACAATTAATTTATTGTGCTGCTTATTGCTTCTAACAGTTGTATTAACAGTTAATGATAGATATGTATTGTCTATGAAAATAATTCCCTTCTGAAATTTGAGATACATGTACATGTTTAATTTCCATGGGGATGACCTGACAAGACCTGATTCAACTTTAAGTTGTCCTTATATAGGACTTTTTAGAGCCGCTTCTTTCATTGAAATATTTGCAGACCTTAATTAGATTGTTTTGTCATTTTTACAAATCAAATTTCCTTAAGACTGGTGTCAAAAATCTGCCTAAACAGAATTTTGGGGGGGGGGTGCTAAAGAAGTAATAAAAAGTAAGTTACAATCATTTACATTGCCACTTTTGGTGATCCACTGCACGTTACAACACAAGGGCACCTGTATATGTACATATAAACCCCAATAATGGAACAGTGTCATTAGTAATTGGAAGGAACACATGGCCATGATTAGTGTGTACGGTCAGTATAATGTACATGTATAGCCATGTTATCTAATCAGTCTATAGTTTGGGATATAAATAGATTTCCAACTGGGATAAAGCGGATAATGTAATAAACAAAGTTTAATAAATAGATCATTTCACTAAATGTGCCGTGTTTAAGGGATTTTCATCCTATTTTAGCCAGTTGAGAATATTAAATTTTAATGAGAAATACAAACACCAGATTTAAATTCATGAGGTAATGTCAATATAAATGAAATAATACCTTCCTTCATACCATTATACTGTTGTTGTTACATTTAGAACAACTGCAGATACTTGTTTTTTTTATCTGTGTTGTGCTTGTTTATATGTCACTATACAACACACAGTAATAATACAAGTTTCTATACTTTATGCAGTAAAATATGTATCATGGGTAATGGCTCTGTACAATGTATATCTGTACATTGCAGTTCATCAAGAATGTCATCACACAACACATACATTTTATAGGTTTTACAGGTGTAGTTGGTTTGATGACTATCATGCTTTGGTCCTTGTTTATAAACAAATTTTTCACTTTGCCAACTATTATTTCTGCTTCACTTCCATTCATCTATGTCATGTGGCTATGTGACACACATGACTTGTAACAGATAGGTGTTTCAAGGTTAATAAGAAGGGTTATAATTTTAACTTTTTAGCTCCGCTGTCGACTTCGTCGTCGAGCGGAGCTTATCATATGAGTGATTGTCCGTCGTCGTCCGTGTCAATGTTTTACTTTTTCGACTTCTTCTTGAAAACTTCTAGCCTGAATGCTTTGATACTTGGTGTATATGTACCTTAGGTAGACCTCTCTTAGGTTTGTTCATTTCATGTTGATATCTTCAATTCTCTAATTTTGGTGAATATTTTTGTCATTTTTGGTAAAAAGTGATATTTTCTTGTTAAAAAACGCAAGTCCAATTGCTTTGATATTACATATATAGGTACTACATGTGTACTTCTCTCAGATTTGTTCATTTTGTAATGTTATCTTTAATTCTCTAATTTTGTGAATATTTTTGTCATTTTGGTAAAAAGTGATATTTTCGACTTCTTGTTAAAAACCGCAAGTCCAATTGCTTTGATATTACATATATAGGTACTACATGTGGACCTCTCTCAGATTTGTTCAATTTGTAATGATATCTTTAATTCTCTAAATTTGGTGAATATTTTTGTCATTTTTGGTAAAAAGTGATATTTTCGACTACTTGTTAAAAACCGCAAGTCCAATTTCTTTGATATTACATATATAGGTACTACATGTGGACCTCTTTCAGATTTGTTAATTTCGTGGTGATATTTTCAATTATCTAATTTTGATGATTATTTTTGTCATTGTTGGTGAAAAGTGATATCTTTGACTCCTTGTTGAAAACAGCAAGTCCCATTGCTTTGATACTATACATATTGTTCATTTTCTAATGATATCTTCTGTTCTTTAATTGAAATGTGCAGCGGAGCTATCTCAGCCGACCGGCTGCTTGTTTCTTTTTTCAAGTGCACGTATATGTCTACTTTGTATTACCTATAAGTTCTGTCACGTACTGCACCTGGATATTCTATATTTTGATTTTTTGACTAAAATATAATATTCTCTAAACGTAGTAGTTAATTTTTATAATAATCAGTATACAAATGCATTCTGGAACAATTACTACAATGCATACTGGGCCGGGTATGTTGGTGGTGATTACATCTACCACATATTTCAGTGATCAAATATGGTATCACATGCAGATTGGATACATGTTTAATTGAGTGATAACAATCAAAAGCATGTATATCATAAAAACACCTCTCT